GCACGGCGGACCGTGCGATCCAAATTGCCCGGCTGGTCAGCCGGGAACTGTTGACGCGCCATAGGAAGGATCCGATGATGGAAGCAATGGGGATTGGACTCCGGGATGTCGTTGATGTGTTCGACTACGAATGCGTCGTCGCGGAAACGGCACCCGGAGTCGTGGAGGAATCGTCCGAAGGAGACAATAGTCTATCCGAGGACGAAACAATGAGGACAGGTGTTAGGCCTGGCGTGAGTGGTGTTGAGCCTTCTCTCGGGCAGGCGACGACCGCTCCTTGCCGTGAGGTCTCCCCACCTTTGAGCCCCCTGCCGGAGGAGACGCCCCCAAAGCGTTACCCCGGGAAGAGGAAGGCGCCACTTCGTAACGAAGAGAGTGATGATGAAGCGACATTCGACGTCGGATTGAATCATGTCGTCGGCCTGACCAGACAGGCCGAAGTGGAGGGTAGCCTCATGAAAGAGGTTCCAGGTACTCATCTGCAGTACTTACTGGAGCAGATATCTCTTTCTTGCCAAGCGCTGACCGAACTCCGAAGTTCGGACATGCCACGCCGTAAGAAGAGGCATGACTCCGAGGAAGAAGCAACCGCGCAATCGGCTTTGGTTGGAAACATTGCGGGACAAGTCGCAGTGCTCCGCGGAGTCATTGATAAGCGTAGAGGGATGGGCGTCCACAAGGAAGTCCAGGAGGCGACCAAGAAGCTGGAGGAAATCCTGGCTACGGAATAGCGCAGGAGAGCGACACCGCGCTCGGGGACCATTGTAGCCTCGCCGGAAAGGGGCTCTGGTACGTTAGCTCCGGTTTTCGCGAAACGGAAGCCGACAACGGACGCGGGAACGCAAACGGCGGTTGGACCGCAAACAAACAGGCCCGGGACGTCTGATATGGCGTTGAGGAGGAATGTGGCCACACAAACAACGGAGGAGCTCCCAAATCCCAGGTCAGATCCGCTGACGAAGCCTGGGAAAAAGCGAAAGACGAAGAAGGAGAAGAGACTGAACACTGTCGAGGGTACGGCCTCCTCGCCGACCGTTACGCTTCCCGAGAAGCATTCGGATCGGGGGACTGCTGCTGCAAAGTCCGCTCCGGCGAGGGTGGACACAGGAGCGGAGAAGGAGAGGCCCACTTGGACANAGGGTGGACACAGGAGCGGAGACGGAGAGGCCCACTTGGACGGAGGTGGTTCGTCGCAAGGGTGAACTGGGGAAGACCGAGGAAACGGCAACTAGGCCTAGACCTCCACCGCCTACACGAGGTCCGACCGCAAAAAAGATGCGGGCGAGGGTCCCTCGTACGGAGGCTGTGATTATCGGGCCTTTGAAGGGGGACTTGAAGTATGCCGAAGTGATGAAGACGGCGACGGCCTCCGTGGACCTTCTGGCCTTGGGTATCCAGGTGTCCGGGACCCGGAGGACTCAGACGGGGGCTGTTCTGCTGGAGGTTCGAGGAACCGCCGAGAAAGCGGATTTACTAGCCGCCAAGTTGGAGGAGGCGCTCAAAGAGAAGGATGTGCGGGTGCATCGCCCTTCGATGACCCGCACTATCATAATCAGGGATGTGGAAGACTGGCACGAAGAGGACGAGGTGCGTCGGTCCCTAAGCGACGCTCTGGAATGTCCAAGTGTTGGGCCCGTTATCATACGGCCTAACATTGGAGGCAAGGGGCGTTACGCGAGATGTGACGTGCCCGTCAAGGTTGCCATTCGGCTTACCACAGTGAGCCGAATAAAAGTCGGCTGGACAACCTGTAGACTGAGGATCATTGACAAAGGTCCTCAGTGCTACAGGTGTCTGGAGTATAGGCACATTGCCCACAGCTGTAAGGGCCCGGACAGGTCAGGGAACTGTCACAGGTGCAGAAAAGGTGGGCATATCGCTAAAGAGTGTGCATCAAGGATGGACCCAACCCATCGCGAAGTCCTGCCCCCACCTCCGCGTGGTGCAGCCCGGGCAACGGACCCACCAGTGGGGTCCGGCTAACGGGGGAGGCAGCACCGCGCTGTGATCTAGCCCCGGATTAAGTTCGGGCCGAAGCACAGCGCGGTGGCAGAAGCGTAAAAAAGCGACGTAGGCCGCCTCGAAGCAATGCTTAACGGCAGTCCCGGGGCGGTCTGCATGAAGTCGGCTGAAGGAAAAAAAGATAAAAAAAAAAAAAAAAAAAGGCGGACCCGAACGGGAGCCG